TCATTTGAAATTGATTTGAAGTAGATAATTAGATGTGAAAATATTTTGTAGATAACTTTTTTTTTGAGTAGATAAAGGAATTAAAACAAAAATAAAGTAAATTGATAATGTCGGAATACGATGAATGCATTGAAATCATGAAGAGAATTGAAAGTACAACAGGAAATGCAGCAGGAAAGATGCAAGTCAGGGGTACAATAATCATACACAAAAAAGAAGTTGTTCACAGTTCATTAGGAAACTCAAAAACACTCTCACTTTCTCGTAGTCTTGATCCGTTAACTGCAATTTGCAACAACTGCATTCGTTGTCTAGATCCAATGGATAAAGCAGAATTCATAAAAGTCAATTTCTCATCTCGAGATGAGAATAATGAAGTGATGTGTGCAACAGATGATGATTTTCTTTCGGTGGTTGTTCAAGATCATCCGATTAACAATCTTCGAGAAGCTTTAATGAAAGGAAAATTAAACCAGAAAGGCTACAAACATGACCAGCAAAATTTCTTTTTTCCCTCAATTCAATGAACTTAACGAGGAAATGATTATTTATTATCATGTTATATCTAGTTATATTTATAAATAAAATTAAATTCCCAATTAATCATTGAAATTTTTATGTATGTCTCTAAAGATAACAAGAAAACGTTTTTCTAAAATTTTCACTTCATTTGCAATTTATATCTTGAAAAATTCGCTTGGATTTTAGTAGGTATATTTTAATCAAATGAGATTAGATAATTATGATCACCATGGCTGTACATTTCGATACCTCAAATAATTGTCATGGTTACGCTGCAACGATTAACTTAAAAAATATTATCGCTATATCGACATTCATTGATGTCATAGTCATAAACTTCTGTGTCATGACAAGTTACGGCAGTTTCGCATTTAGAATATGCAGAATTAAAAAAATTTCTTCTTCCGAAATATTTGAGGGCACAATCTACAGGTTCACATTTGCCAAATGGATCTAAATCTTCGGACTTGCATTCAGTATAATCTGAATTTATTTTCATGTCGTGGAAATAATCTGAAAAAAATTATTTAAAATGGGATGATTTGGAATAACATTGATTGATTTACAAAATATTAAATCAGAAATTGATTTTGAATCAATCGTTGTATTAAAAGAAATAATTTCTGATTCCTCATTTAGATCTCCAGATGACTTGTATTCAGTCACTCTCAAAAAGCATTTTCCGATCCGATTGATGGGAATCATTGTGGGCCATACCAAAGTAACAGTTAAATGTTTTCCAGGTTCCAAATAAAATATTCGACATCCTTCAATGTTTTGAGTCTAAAAATTATGCATTCACTGATACCTAATATTGCAATTAATGAATATGATAACATTTTACATTGCAATCCCATTTATTATGTATTAATAAGCAACATTTTCTTGAATGTATATTGAGATTGACATTTTCCTTGGCTTTATAATTTTTTATATCAATATCTAAAAGAAAAATTTGTAGATTATGAGGCACATTTAAAAATATACAAATATCATGACTTTTAATGAATTACCGAAAAACAAACCGAAATCATTTTTGTTAAGGTGTCTCATTTTTATGCTTTTTATGAACTTTTTATCCATATGTCTTGAAAATGATAGATGTGAAAGGAGTAAAATTAATAGAAAATGTGTCTTTAGCTGCATATTTTAAGAGATGGAAAATTTCATCTGTTCCAACAAAATACTTAAAATATAAAAATTCATTGCAGACTAGATCTAGATTAAAAAAAAAAATTAATGGATTTTAACTCTTTAAGACTTACCTTTAAGCTTCATTACTGTTTGAAATATCATTGAAACCTATTACGTGCAAACCATGGTTACTTTACTTAATTCTTTTTCGCTCACATGTTTTTACTGAAAAAAATGAACCAATAAGAATATATGTTGACGTGACATAAGATATCTGCTCAGAATTAAGCAATATTGTTCCAATATCAACCTTCTATTTCACATTTTTATTTATCATTTAATAACAATAAGATGGCAATGCATGTGGTGAAATTTTTTAGTTATCGATGATGTATCAAAATATATGTAGGTGAATGAATATGTTAAATGAATAACCCCTTTGAATTCGATGATTATGTGAGAGAAAATTTAAAATTTTACAAGAAAAATTACCTACTAAAGAGAGCTGTTGAGCTCGATAGACATCGTGAGAGCACTTCAAGGGGGTTTTCTGTTTTTAAATGGAAGGTTGCTGAAATACAATTGTCTTCAAAAGATTCATAAATAGGTAGTTAGTATCTTAAAACGTATCTAATTTAATAAGGAAAGTAAGTCAGAATATTTGTACAATTTTAAGAAGCATAATGTACAAGTTAGAGATTGTCGAGATATTTGACAACCGGAGAAAGCACCATGATGAACCCCTTACAGCAATACCAAGAGCAATACGAATGAAGAGAGGAATTCTGTTTCTTATTTCTCAATTTTAAATAGTTTGCTATTTCATCTTTCCATTTTATTCTACCTCAAGTTTAAAAATTTAGAATAAGCATTAAAAAGTGTTTAACTACACTAACTACCTAGTGAATTAAATATAAAGAAGTTTATGTTCCTTACTACATATAAACTTATCAAATTGTGAGTGACATTCAGTAGTAATTTAGATATTTTTGTTTCAATAATAATTTCAGAAGACAATGGTTGATCTCTTACTGCTCAATCAATTATTGTTTTTAAAACCATTTTAGTTTTAGTTTTAATTTAATTGAAAAGCATATCAGAATAAATTTATTCTCTACTAAATTTTGTTTGAAACATAAGTGATGCGTGAATTTTGTGAATTTGGAATGGTTTTCAGTGATGATATTTTTATCGTTATCTCGTTTTTAATAAAAAAAAACTAATAAAATAAGAGAAGTACCTATATTTGGATGTGTGTGTTAGCCGGTATTGATTTGGACGTAAAATAGAATAAAAGAAGAAATTTGTGTTCAGTCCTCTGTGAAATATCAACAAGTGAAATTGTTTCAATCTTTATTCGAAATGGCAGTGCGTGCTAAAAAGTATATTTATGGAAGTGCTTTCAAGGGCGAACCAAAGCTTTCTGATATTCAGTTAGTCGAAGAAGATTTGCCACCTCTAAAAGATGGAGAAATATTGATTGAAGCTCTGTTTTTGAGTGTAGATCCTTATATGAGACCGTACATGACAAGATATCCAGTAGGGACCCCAATGATTGGAGGTCAAATGGCCAAGTATAGAATCTAAACGTTTCTAAAAATCAGTTTTAATTTTTTCCCCTTTTCAGAGTGATCGATTCGAAACATTCCAAATATCCGAAAGGAACGATTGTGTTTGCTCAAGTTGGTTGGCGCACACATACAATCGTTAATCCTGAAGAACTCAAAATACAGGAATTTTATGAGTTTCCAAAATTTGAGGGTCTATCCCCTTCTTTGGGTCTCGGATATTTGGGAATGCCGGGAAACACTTCCTATTTTGGTTTCTTAGAAATTTGTAAACCAAAGGAAGGAGAAACTGTTGTTGTGACTGGTGCTGCGGGAGCTGTCGGTTCACTTGTTGGTCAAATTGCTAAGCTTAAAGGATGTCGAGTCATTGGTTTTGCTGGTTCCGACGACAAATGCAAATGGTTAGAAGATGAGTTAAACTTTGACAAAGCTATCAACTACAAAAAAGGAGATATGGAAAAAGCATTGAAGGAAGCGGCTCCCAAAGGGGTTGATTGTTACTTTGATAACGTTGGTGGTGAATTGAGTTCAATCATTATTCATCAAATGAATTTGTTCGGCCGTATATCTGTTTGTGGGTCAATTTCTGGGTACAACGATCAAGAGATTCTTGTTCCAGCACCACAGAAAAAATTTGTTTTTTCACAACTTAAAATGGAAGGATTTATTGTTTGGAACTGGGCAAGCCGTTGGTTTGAAGGCATAACAGAGGTTGGAAATTGGATCCAATCAGGAAAAGTCAAATACCATGAGACCATAACACTTGGATTTGAGAATATGCCAAAAGCTTTCATTGAAATGTTGCGTGGAAAAAACACTGGAAAGGCTATTATTAAAGTTAAATAAAGATTTTCTTGTTTTTTAAACACGTAATGCTTACGAATGTTTTCTTATCAAACTGTTTCGATACTAAATGTTTAATCAGTCTGCTCAAATGATTCGTTATCGAAAAATGATTTTTATTTTATTTTCAGTCGTACATTAGAAGCGTCAACATATAAACGGCTTGCATAATAAGAAAATTATCATGATGATTCGGCGTCTTTTTTCGAGTAATGCTTTAAAGGCACGTAAATTTTTGTATGTGAAACCATTCAAAGGTGAACCCACTGCGTCAAACTTTGAACTTGTTGAGGAAGATGTTCCTGCTTTGAAGGATGGTGAGATTTTAGCTGCAGCTGAATATATTTCGGTTGATCCTTATATGCGTCCTTATATGGCTAATTATGAGCCGCCTTGTACGATGATTGGTGGACAAATTGCTAAGTAAATATTTTTTGGTTTCAAAAATAAACTTGAATGCCTGAAAAATTACAAGATTGTGAAATTGGCTTTAACTTCCTTAAATTATTTATAACAAAGTTTTTAAGTCGAAACTTAAGCTGCTTTCACATCCCTCATTTTTTATTTCTTGTTTCGGGTTTTTCGCTTACACTTTACTTTATTTTTCTGTCTCTTAGAATTATAGAAAGCAAGAATTCGAAGTTTCCCAAAAGATGAAATAATTTTTGGTCAATTTGGATGGAGAACGCATAAAGTTCTCAACCCAACTGAAAGGCAGAAAGAAAGTTTTCAAGATTGTTATATATTGCCAAAATGTGAAGGTCATCCTACATCATTGGGTTTGGGAGTTCTTGGAATGCCTGGTAATACTGCTTATTTTGGTCTTCTAGAATTATGCAAACCTAAAAAAGGAGAAACAATTGTAATAACTGGTGCTGCGGGTGCAGTCGGCTCCCTTGTTGGGCAAATTGGAAAACTTCAAGGATGTCGTGTGATTGGTTTTGCTGGTTCCGAAGATAAATGTAGATGGTTAGAAAATGAATACGGGTTTGACAAAGCGATCAATTACAAATCGGAGAATCTATACAAACAATTAAAAGCAGCGGCCCCAAAAGGTGTTGATTGCTTTTTTGATAACGTGGGAGGAGAAGCGAGTTCAATGATATTTCATCAAATGAATAATTATGGAAGAGTTGCAGTCTGTGGTGCAATTTCTTCCTACAACTCTGAAATACCAAAAGTTCCCGCACCACAAACTATTTTTGTTTTTAAACAACTGAAAATGGAAGGATTTTTGGTCTGGAGATGGTCTCATAAATGGATGGAAGGGATTACAGAAATTGCAAAATGGGTTCAAGACGGCAAAATTAAGTATCATGAAACTGTAACTGAAAACTTTGAGAACATGCCAAAAGCTTTTATTGAAATGCTACAAGGAAAAAATTATGGAAAAGCAATTGTTAAAGTATGAAATAATGTAGATGGCTCAAAATATGAATAAAAACTGTTTAATTTTATAATAAAATTTTTATTGCATTCGCCACATAGTTCGTTTGGCGTGTTGAGTGTTATTGTCATTATTTGCAAGTTACAACATACAGAAATCATTCCTTTCATCGATTAATCTCATTAATTATATTGGTCAATGTTCTTTAATTCCACGATAATAATTTGAAGATATAGAAAAATAAATACTTTTTGGTAAGTAGTGTTACAGATGGAATTAATTACATTTTGAGGAATCTTTTCTTTAACCAATGCGTTTAGATTGAACTTTCGAGCATAAATTAAAATGATGTGTGTGATTCCAACGACCATTGCGACATTGAAATGTTGCATAACGTTCAAGGTTATCATGGATTTCATAAGATCTTGCACATTTGACCCGACAGACTGTTAATTCGGGGATGTAAAGTTCGTTTTCCACTTCTTTTATCAGCTCACGATCAACTTTACAAGAGAATTTACCATGCTCAGGAGCTGAAGGTAATTGGCATCTAGTAATAGCACCTTCAATTTGTCGATAGTAGTCCTCTGAAAAGGAATTTAATATATTTTGAGAATCTATGTTTTATAGAATTAATTAAAGAACTTTACTGTGCTTTACAATGCAATCTGGTTCAACACCTTGCCATTTCAAATTATCGTTGCAAACCATTGGCTCAAGATGACTCAAAACTCCATTATTTTTGCAAGAAAATGTACACGTCGATCCCCATATATCAGTTAAATCACATTTCACTTTTACATCTTCATTTTTAACAATGTACGGTCCACAATTTCTCACAATTATTTTATATTTCAAATTACAAACATGTTCAACTGTATCATCCTTTTTGTTAATAATTTGTCCAATGAAGGTATGTGATCCGCGAGGTAAAATGAAATGATGTTTTTTGCTGAAAAGGGTTTCCAGTTCGAAAAGAGATTTCAAAACGGGTTTATCACTACAAGTTGTTAGTGCTGGAGTTTCAATTAAGACTCCATCGAGGCCACGTTTTGCGATAAGAATTTTTTCAGGAGGGCATTTAATACAAAATTTTCCTGTGGAAAAATAAATGAAAAAGATATAAAATAATATCAAATGAAAAAGAAATTACTTGAAATTACCTGATCGAAAAAATGGCTTCATTTGGTTTTTATCTTCATCCCGGAGATTTTTCTGATTTTTTCGAGAATCAAGTGGAATCGTATCGACCTTAGTGACATATGATTTTGTCTCGTTTTCATCTGGTCCTACGGAAATTCTGTTTCGATTTCGATGATGTGGAATAGAAACAGTTGCACTTTGATGGGTTTTGTAAAAATATTGTGTTTTTGTTAGTGGTGGAAATGAGTTTGATGTTCTAACAACATAAAATTCTTTTAAATACACAAAACATTTTCGTTCACAGAAGCTTTGCAAAATCAAACTTCATTGTAATACCTGGAGTTAGAATAATCATTTTGTAGGTCAGAATCCTCATCAATCTCTTCAGATGCAAAAGTTTTTCTATTAAAATTTACATTGGCGCCTTTGTCTCTAATAAATCAAAGCATAGATAAATAAAAATTTAATGAGAAATAAATGTCAAGTTGAAAGTTTCTTTCTTTTACTATCTAGCGTGCTAATAATTTAATCATTATTTTCGTAAAGATATTTTGAAAATGCTTTTCTTATTCAAAATAGATTTAGGATGTAACTATGTAATAACTCACCTGTGTGCATTAGAATTTAAATTCCACCCAGATAATGACTCTGAAAATATGGTACAATAACTTTTAAAGACTTTTTTATGGCTAATTCTATAAAAATTAAAAATAAAATATATGAGTTGGAACAAAAGTTAATATTTAAACAATAAAAAATTTAAATTTTTGTAAGAATGATGGCAAACGAACGTAAAGTTTATTCTTCTTTCAGAGTATGCAAATAGAGCGTTTGTAATAAACATATTCATAAACTTCCATGGCATCACTTCAAATTGTGTGAGAGCGCAATCCACTTAGAAAACCAATTTAAAATTTTGCAAATCGCAGAAATGCGTCGATTGGTTTGGAAATAAATTAAAAACAAATGTTCACTGTTGAACAGAGAATCTAACTACCGTTTTAGCTTATCAAAACATACGTCATAGTTGTTCGTAATAAGTTTTATAATGAATTTAAATTTATTCATCATGATATTTTTACTAACTTTTCTCGTAAAAGCTCCTGGTTAGGAAAATTCGTTGGGATCTATAAATTCATGTTTCTTTTTCTAATTTATGTAGTAAAGATCTATCTAAATATCCAATTAATTACTAAATATTTGAAGTAAGTTCTTACTTTAACAACCTTTTCCCTTTGAAAATGTTTTATAAACTTCCAAGTTAAAATCTTGATCTACTTTTTTAATGAATTGTATGTTTTTTTAACAGATATTTGATGCCGAGACTTATTTAAAAAGTATTGAATAACGCCAGACATCAATTTAACTGAGTGCGTTGAGAGAAAAGTTCTTGAAAAAGGCTGAAATAGATAATTTACACTTTATAATATAAAAGAACACTTACGGACAAACAATATCAGCAGGAGCACTACAGCACGCATTGTAAAGCAATTCTCAATGTCTACAAATCAATTGATTTATTTTTGATCTTTTTTCAAATGACACAGATGATATCGAATTTCTTGGCGATGATTTCTTTTCTAAGATTATTATAAAGATTGACGTGAGTACATAAGACAATTGATTTAATTACGATAAGTTTCACTTCTACAGTTAAAGTGTTGGAAGAAAGATTTCTTAAAGAAATAACATTTCTCTCAAACTTTAAGTAAATCCTTATGTTCATGTCAAAATTCCAGACTGTTTAATTTTGCGAAAAAATGTCTCAAAGTAAAGAAAATATTTTTATGTTTAGGCTTGACTCACTTTTGAGCAATTTAAGAAAAAATGTGAGTCAAATTTTCCAATACGTAATTGAACATTCTTCGAAAATATTTTCCGGTACTTAAATATTTATTCACGATTCTCTCAGCTGATTAATATTTACGAAAATTCATGGAAACACAGAAAAAATTAAATTGTAAATATCTTCAAAGGAAATTTTAATGCTACATTTGATGATTTCATTTAAAACGTTCAGATATTGGAAAATTTGATTTATTGATGCCAAATTTTGGAATAAATAGGAAATTTATTTTAAACATTATTTTCTTCAGTATTTAGTGTTTAAAATTTGTAGATATTTTTGGATTTTTCAGATTATCTTTTGGTAATTAAATGTGAATACATCGCAATAAATTTTTTAATGGTTGACGTTGAAATTTAAACTTTTTTTGCATGTGATACAGCAAAGCAAAAAATTGATCGATCCCACGACTCATGTCTAATTTACATATCTTCAATTTTTTTGCCCAAAATTTGTAACTCGGTTTTAGAATCTAATTACGTCATATCACTCGAATTAAGAGAATTCATTTAAATGTTTTGAATCAGAACTAAAAAGGAATGTCAGTTGAAATTATTGCATTCACTAATTGATCGTTTTTTCTTATTTTCAAAATAAATTTGCTTAATTTGTTGAACTCAATTATCACTTAATCGTTATCATCAAAAAATTAAAGAAGACCAATTAAGCACGCAAATTTAAACTTTTGAAACTTTCTTAAGATTGACACTAAGCATGTTTAATGATTTCAATAATCAATCTTCCTATATGGATTTATTTGAAGGTCCTAACAAATATTTATGTATATTTAGATATGTTTAAAAAATTCCACTTCAATAGAACTTTTGATTTATAAAAATTTCTTTTACTCGATGGTTACAACTGAAGCAAATAAACATCCAAACGAAACTAAAATCAAATACATTATTTAAAGTCTCGAACTATAAAATTCTGTAAGAGAAAGAGAAACAATCTCAGAAGAGAAACATTTCCATTAGCCATTTAGAGAAAAATCTCTTTGAAATATGACTGAAACGTAAATTTTATTTTATGCTGTTTTTATGAAGAAAATGTTTCAAAGAAAAATTATTAATTAATTGTTTTGAATCCATCCAAGAGCTTTTAAAATTATTCTGATACATTTCCCTTCTGATACGCTTCCAACTAAGGGAATGATTTCATTTTAAAAAGGAATATTCGATTAAGGCGAGTAGCAGGAAGAAATTTTAAAGAAAAAACACAATTTTATTTGAGAAAAATAGTTTTTACATTTATTTTACCTTCTTTTTATTTAGAACTTTTAAAATATAGTTAATATTTTTTTTTCTTTTTGCTTGTAAGAAATTTTACTTAAGCTAAGGATATTTTTTTCTATACGTTAAGAAAGTTTTTCTTTTAGGTATTTTATCTGTTGAGTTTTATGAGTGTGTGGTTGAAAAGAAAGTGTTTAGAAAATCTGAAAATCTTTTTAGAATAACTAAGGCATCAAGATAATCGTTTAAATTTAACAAATCAGACCGTACTGACCAGAGTGAAAAATATTGAATCAACTTACAATACAATAATAAAATAAAACAGGAAAAAATAAAATTAAAAATTGAATTTTAAATAGATATAAATGTTTTAAAAAATTATCAAGTTCACTTTCATATCAAAAGAACCCCCAGGAATTCCGAGATTTTAAGTGAGCGAAGAGTCTTTTCCAGTTTACTTTTGGGTTGTTTATTTCTCTTCTGAAGCTTTTTCGGCGGTATCAGCATAGAACTTCGGCTGCAAAGTTTATGTAAATGAAAAAATACGCTATTGGTTATTACGTTACTTTGATTTTTTTTGTACATAGTTAAAGATATAAAATAAAAAACAGCTGTTGAGATCAGAATCATAAAAGGAATTTATGGTGACTTACAACTCTGATATCATCATTTAAAATAACACAAACTACCTATAATTGCATCAAGTTATTTTTTTAAATTAAGTAGAGCCTTGTATGTAAATAGCAAATCAGTATGGTAAAAAAACTATAAAAGCAATGAAATATTAAAATTATGCATTCAAGCAAGGAAAAAAGAAATCACTTAAAATATCAATTTTTATTGTCCCATTACTCAAACAATTAAGTCAAACACTCATGATTGACGTTAGTTTTTTAAACGTAAACATTTGAAATATCAATCGTGAGTAAACTTGTTTCACTTTTAAAATTCTTTTAATAAACTAAAAACACTATAATTAAATTGAATGCGTTTCTAACTATTTCACTTACTGTTAATCATTTTATCTAACAGAAGATTTAAATATAATCACAATTTTATTCTCTATCATACACATACGGTTTGATTGCAATGATTTCGAAAGCCCTGAAGTTTGTTGTTACAAGTAAAACATTTGATGAATGTACAGAGAAGAAAGAGAAACATTTAAAAGACATTTTTCTAATTACCAAGAATATTATTTGCAATGTAAGAATAAACAAAATGTTAAGACATGAAAAAAAGAAAATGAGTAAAAGTAATATTGAAATAAGTAGATAGATATGTGAATTTATGGAATATCTAGTATAAGATGAGAACGTAAACTGAAGAAATTAAAAATGTCAATCATAACTCACCTCTTCATGTGTTTTGTTTGGGTCTTGTTCATCGTCATCCGATGATTCACTACCGGCAGAATTTGTAGCTTTTGATTGCGAAGTGTTTGCATTTGCTTTGTTCTGCAATACATATAAGAAAATTTGTAAAGAAAATAGCTAATAAGAATAAAAATAAAACGTATTACCTGTTGATTGTTCATCGAGCTGAGAAGATCATAACAATCCAAACAAACTCGTTGAGGCTTAGAGCCGGACGGTAATAAGAACTTTTTCGGGGAACATGGACCACAAACAACTGCTCCGCAATTTCTACAGTGATGTCTACGTATGATCATTGTGAATTGTGTTTTTTTACAACACATGCAAACACTTGCTTCATTATCAGGCACCCAAACAGCAGCATGTTGATCTGAACGTTTCTTACCACCTGTAAGTTAGAAATATACATAATTGAGAAAAACAAAAATTATAACATTAAATATTTCTTACTTTTCCGTAGCAAATCTTCTATACACTTATTTATATGAGCCATCCATTCTTGTTTCTCTGTACTTGTCGCAGCATAAACTGCAAATGATTTAGCTGTTGTCCTTATCAACCATCCATTGCGTGTGTCTATTTAATGAATGATAAAAGAATGATGAATCAACGGACATGTTATTGCTACCAAATATTCATATCTAAATAACAATGAAATAAAATAAACTTACGTGGCGTATCGTCAAGTCCTTGTAGCTGAACTTCTTCCAGTGGGATAATGTGTTGCTTATTGTATTTTTTCTTTCCAATTATTATGTTACCGTATACCAAAATATCATTGAAGAGGAAAAATTGACGGGGTTTTGGTCGCTTGCGGCACATCTTTGTGAGAACTCCTTCACCGACAAGAACACGGCCAGGAATGAGCAACTGTTCTCCGGAACTTCCAAAACAACTCTCGACCATCTGTATTCGACGTGCATTTGCTTCACTATTTACTAGAATAATCAAGTTTGGGAATTTGATCAATGCGTGGATTCGTAAGACTTAGACGAATTTGTATTTTTAGTAAATGAAATGTACATTCCATACCAAGTTGTCATATTTCATGAAAATTCGAATAAAATTCAATAATAATAAAAAGTGAAACATGTATTCAATTTACACTTTTAACGAAACAGAATACTGGCAATTTTTTTTGAGTGGTTACGGAAGTAAAATTACCGAAGACCGGATGTAATGGTTACATGACAGCAAATGTGTCTATATTTGTAAATTCCTTTAATGTTATTCATATTTATGAATCCAATATAGTGCAAAACTTCATCGTGCCATGCTCTCTGAAAGTGTTTCAAGTTTTTCGTTTCTTTGCTTTCACATTGCTTTACTTTTGAATGAGTTAAGCCATTCGACATGTGATGGTCGAGTGTATGGATAATAAACAAAGAAAACATATTTGTCGCATCAATCATGAATTGTGTGAAATTTTCACAAAAAACAACATCAAAATTCACATGGTTTATGTCGGAAATTTCGTGTAAAATGCATAATTTATCAACGATTTTAAAAAATCTAATCCGAATCATGATGCTATTTGTAATAAGTATGAAAGTCATAGTAGATACGTAGTAAATATTAATTAAGTTATGATGACTCATCATCAACTGAAAAGACTTTACATTTAGGAGCTTCCCTTTAACATTTAACAACTACATAATTGCACTCCAATAAAAGTGTGATTACTCGAATATAAATCATATGAAACTTAAACAAATAAGAAGAAATATTTGTGGACATGATAATCATATTAGAATGACTTTGATAAGAAAATTGCGAGGGTTCAGGAAGTTCAGCTGACTCATTATTACTTGTCGTTCATGTGATTCATCTCGCGGAATAATTTCTATGAAAAAGGTGCCTTTTTACATAAATAAATGTCTTAATTACACGTTTAGTTTCTTGTTTTCGAATTAAATTACAAGTAATTTCATAGATTAGTGAATTTAAGCCAAAACAATTCATTTATTTATATTAAATATTAAATTTCAAGTCAAAAATTAAATAAGTGACTAAGAATTATTAATGAATCCTTATTTGAACGAGTCGAACTTTAAACTAGCTAAATATGATGAATTTCCCGGTTTTGCACAGTGTTAAGCAAAAAATTAATTAAATATTTCACTAAAAATATTTGAAACTATGAACTTCGCAAGGGAATTTCCATTTCCTACTTAGAAATTTTGATAGTAAGAAATCAAACATTTTTGCAATAATACTACACTTGTTTTTGTTTTAAATACGCTAACAAGTTCTTGCTGGGCTACTTAATGGTTTTTAATTATATTTACCAAGTTTATCAACCATTTTCTTGATTTAACTTATGATTTTATTTTATATTTAAGTTTACTAAAGTGAGGCAAAACTGATGCAAGTGTCAGGCGGACAAGTTCAACAATTCAGCTGTTTTCTTTAAAATTGCGCAAACCTCAAGAAGCAAACAAACTGAAAACAACAATTTTAGCATGGCAAGTAATAATTTCATAACAATGAGCTAACTCTTAACTCTTCACTTTCTATTTAGGATATTTTAAAGAGACCAGCTGAGGAATTCGGAAATGACTCAATGCTTGAAGAATTGTGGGCCAAAAAAGCATTTGAACACGCAGAAACTCACTTTAATCTCTTGTGCAGTGTTGGTAAGTAAATCCTGTTTTATTATTTATAAACGGAAACTTATAAATAATAGCTTTAAAGAATTTCTAATAATTAAGATGTAAAGAATAATTTTATTTAAATGAAGTTATTCTTTTTTTTAGATCCCCGGCTGCTCAAACTTTCCCCATTTGATGACATTATCTTCACAGCATTTCGTGATGAGTTCCCAGACTTAAAGGTAGACGTTCTAAACGAAGATGATCTGAAAAATGATTTATCTAAAATGAAGTGGAGAAATTTTATTGAGAGATTTAATAAACTCGAGGATTACAGTTTTGGAACATTAATCCGCGCTGATGCTTCAAAAGAATTTTCCCCTGAGAACTCAATTTTTGTCGTTCGACTTCAGTTTTTGGCTATTGAAATTGCGAGAAATCGGGAAGGATTTAATGACTCAATAAGAAATAAATTTGGGAAAAATAATTGAAGGTGAAAAAATTATGATCAACCTTGCAATTAATTCAAATATGCAATAAATGAATCTTTCTTACAAAAAATACCAAGAAATTTTATCAGTAAATTTTATTTTCCAGAATTTGTTGTTTCATTCTGGGGTATTTTAATTTTTGATGTTAACACAAAAATGGAATTTACGACACTTCCATAGGGGCAGTAGTTTCTTCAGTGTATTTGCCCTTATCTTTGCCAAGTGCAGCCAAACGTCCCTTTGCACGACGATCCAAAATTCTCTTGCGATCTTTGTCCATCTTAAGTTTGACAATCAGAAGCTTAGAAGGGTGCATGCCGACATAGACATTTGTACCGTTGGCTTTTTCACGTTGTATTCTTTCAATATATACCACAAACTTTTTGCGATAAACTTGCACAACTTTTCCAACTTGGTTGCCTTTATAATGACCGCGAACAACCTAAAATTAAAAATAAAAACCATATAAATAAATCAGACTAACCTCAAACAATCAAAAACAAATAAAAGCAAAAATAGAATGTCAAGAGTAAATCAATACTCAGAATATAAAATTTTATTCATATTAAAACCTAATCAAAACTCACTTGAACTTCATCGTCTTTACGGATAGGCATGGAACGAACGTTGTACTTTTGACGCAATTCTTTACTTAATGGCGATGACATTAGCTTGCGACGAATATGCGATGGTGCCGTGAAATGTCGGGCACGATTCTTACGGCGTGACGATGAGACATTTCTGTTAAGTTTCATCTTGAGGCTGGAATTTCCTGAAAGAATAGATAGTCACTTGTTGTAATTATATTAAATTCTTTCTAAAAAAATATTTGAGAGTTCAAAACAAATTTTTGTTTGCATGATGCTAAAATTAATAAGAAATTTGTATCAAAAACACTTTTATTTCATACAAATTGGATACTAAGAATGTTTATGAAAATAGTTAATGCATAACATTATCATTTTGAACTCTGTACACATCTTAAAAATAAATTTATTTAACTCTTACACGTGAAGATTCAGAAATTCTCGAAAAAAGAAAGAAGGCGTAGGAAATATTTGAAATATCTAAATTTGCATCATTCATTCGCTTCCCAAAATTTGCTTCTGCTTTTAAACCCTAATTCTAACGAACTTTTGATTTCAAGTTTTATAGTTTGTTGCTTTTGAAATTATTCTGAAACTCTGCAATGTCTAATCTAACAAATGTGTACGCTTACATTCGAAAGAGCTATCCAGATTCAGATATTCTATATGGAAAGCTACCATCGTATATAAAAACTATTTCAGGCATACATTTTGAAAAAATCATTTTTATTTTCAAGGAGGTAAATATTTTTAAAACCTATTTGTGTATTCAAATGTTTATATTAATCACAAATAAATCAAATTTACCTTTCATACGAAAAAGAACCGAAACATATTGAAGGAAGAAAATGAATTTAATATTTCTGGAAACAAAGATAAAAGTACAAGTTTGAATTTAACTGGAAATCCACTAGAGGACGATAAATCAATTGAGGAGTTAATTAATACAACCATAGCAAGCAGTACTTTTATGCGTAAGCCTTGGCAAGAAATCGAAGAAAGCTATACGCCAATTGAAGTAGCTATGGCTCGAAAAATGATAAACGACGTTTCAAATCAAATAGTCGATAACTCATACGGTTGGATATTTATTCTTTGCAAAGACCCATTGGAAACATTGAGCAATTCAACTCTCATGCTTTCGCATCAAATTCATAGTAAAAACAATTGTCGCGGTATTTTAAAATATCTAGGAGTTGTTAAGCACAAACAAAAATCAATGGAATATTTACTGAAGATTCATCGTTCATTCATAACATCAAATCCAAAAATTGAATGTCAATTGGAATCACGATTCCAAATCTCTCCTAACATAATCTTGAAATTTTCACACAACAATGCTACGTCGACTGCTTTGATAGATCACATTAATGAATTTTCGGAAGTTGTTCTTCATCAAAAGGTGGAAATTGGTAAAGGCCACATATTGTGTGAAGACTTCTGGAGCCAAATTCAATTGTTGAACATGATTAAAAATGACATAATTAAATTTAAGGATACTTCTGGAGATGGAACACTTGTGGAGCCAAATTACAGTTATGGGTCGTCTGATCTAACTTTTGAAAATCTACAAGAAAAGGTTTACCGGATTCTTGCTGAGGTGAACACAATTAAAGAAGAAAATAATAACGTTGATATTGGGCTTGAAAATGTCATCAAAAAATCTCGTCATCGTCCGTTAACTGAAGTAACAGATCTTCTGTGGGATCTTTTGAAATTCATCAGTTCTTATCATGACTTAAAAAAGATCATGACATTCATTTTTCAAATTTCAAGTCGTTCAAATATTGTAAACATTCCAACGAACAAGAATCGGCTTGGTGAGCTTATTCGAGATCTTTGTCTTCAACGATTAGCTATTCCTCATTTACATGGAACTGAACCACTTGAATTACTTTTGGAAATCGGAATTGAAAAACTCATAAAAGATTATGAATACATTTTTAATGAAAGCAAAATATGTAATTTGAACGGCGTAATTATTGGAGGTTCAAAGGTTAAAGAAAGTAATGAAAACTGCTTGAGTGTTCGTAAATCTATTGCAAATGCTGTTGAAAAGAGTGCAGAGAAACAACGAAAGACATTTTTGAAAAAGGTCAGTGGCAGAATTGAGAGCAACGATAGTGATGATGAGGGCATAAAGAACAGCCGTTTTGTGAAATGTGAAGTTGATGACAGCATTTCAAAACTTGTACAACTTCATCTATCTGTTGAACATCTTCTTTTAATTCAAAACAATATCAGTATGGATCTTGATTATGCTAACATTTCAAAGAAACTTTTCGAAAGATCTTTGACATTGTTTGATGAATTACCAAAATTTGATAAGTTTGAATTTCTGATTTATGATAAAAAAATCTGTCATCTTGTTGAGAATTTTATGCCAAACGCACAAAAAATCATTCTCCGTTCAGGAAACAAATTCAAAGAAATTGAAAATGTTTTTTACTTCGACATGGAACAAATTTTCCCATTTTTAATAGAACGAGAAGAAAATGAAGAAATTGTTGATAAATCAGGAGATTCGTCTCATTTTTTTAATTACACTATAATCACCAGCAAATATTAAATTACCTAATATTAAAATTATTTCGTTATTACTCACGTCAATCATAAACGTTCAGCTGTAAAAATTTATTGAATATTTCCACTTTACAATATCTAATTCATATTAAATTTTAATTGTTCATATGAGTTTTTTTTTTCCGAAAAGAATACAAAGAATAAAGAAGTTTTCACACAAATGGCTTAAAATTATTTTTGACGATTTGATTTTATCAGAAGAGCAGGTTCAAGCTAAAAAGCAAGCAGATACTGAAATAAACGGAACAGACATAAGCTACATTAACTTCTACAATTCCATTTTCAAAAAAGGTATTTAAAATAACAAACGTTCGATTTAATAATAAAATTATTAATTTTAACAAACAATTTAAGATTTTACTCAAAGCAAACTCTTTTGGTTGATAAAAAACTCGCATAATATGTACTAAACACAATAATATCTAATAGATGTTTAATCATGATGATGACAATTAGAAATCTTTGAAGACAATTAGCATAAATTTAATATTTAGTTTCTAGCACATTACAGATAATTTAAAAGTATATTTATTGAATTTAATTCCGAAAGGTTATTGATTTTATATTGTTTTAAGTGGTTTATCGTAATGTCGCTAGAACTGAAAATAAAAACATTTTGATATCTATTAATTAGTCTAAAAGCCGTTTACATGAATTGTCAAATTGTTGCTGGGAGAAATGGGTCAATATGAAATGGGTCGAGAACTATTTCAATTAGTTAATCTTTAACTACCTACATGTTTCTCCCTTTTGTAAATAGTCAGGTTTTGTTTCATTCAATTAAGAAAAAACAATTTTTTATTTATTTTCCGACTTCACAATGATTACGTTTCATGTCATTTGAAATTTATATTTAAACGTAGAAATTTTTCAAGTCATTCCTACGTAATAATCTAATCGACAATCGTGTTCTTACTCTAGGTGAAAATTTTCTAATAATTTCTACCAAAAGAAAACAACATTTAATCAAATTGTAAGCAGCATTTACTTAGATGCGTTTTGTTAAACATCTAGTCAATATTTAATTAAAATAATTTTAGTCATTTTAATATCTTTTGAATTTATTTCCAAGGTTTGTACTAGATAAAAACTTAAAATCTTTTTTCATTCATTTTTAAATTCAACATGCAAATGAAAAAAAAAATTAATCCATTCATAGCATATCGAAGCAAATACATTGTTTTCATATCTTACGCAAAAAAGTTCTAACACAGAAAAAGCTTAATTAAATTAGTTTAACGATCGCAACTCGCAACATTTAAAAAAGGAAAAAAACAGAGCGAAGTTTCTTCATATTTGTGAAAGCCGCGAGACTGACAAGTTCTTAAGAATAGAAACTAGTAGCGAATATAAATAATTCTCTTCTCAGAGTTTTAGAAAGTGCTAGTTAGAGAAAGTGAATTAAAGTGTTTCCACATAATTTGAATGTAATTAGTGGAATTTGAAGATAATCAACACACCAAAAATATGGTCAGTGTTAACTTAAATTTAACATAATCATCAAACATGAATGAATTAATCATTTAAATTGAATTTGATGGCTTAAAACTAACACAAGAAAACTGAAATTCAATTTGCAAAAGAAATGTCTAATTTAATTATAAGAAGAATAATATGTACATAAATATAATAACCATTGTCTATGTTTGTAATTGTCATTGATTATATGAATCATCGACATTGTTACATGCAGTTTGGTGATATAATTTCATTAAAGAACTTGTATTAATCATCTTGACCTCTCATCGAGCCCCCATTTCCGATGTTACTTTTTCTAGTTGTTTCTTTTTGCCATCTAAGTTTTCAATTAATTGATGATGCTTCATTTATTCGGTGTATGACGTGTTCATAAAAAAATATTTGTTATGTAGGCGTTGACGAACAGATGTACATTGGAAAATTTGATGCGATTTGGATATGCTTTGATTTTGATAACTGTTGGACTTATGATATGGGCAAGCTCTGCAGGTGCTTCTAAAGTCCTTGACCCTCCGTGTATCTTCAACTCACTATGCACTTGTTCAAATGGATATCCCGATAATTTTGGTACAGTTGAATGCGTTAATGTTCCGTTTTCTTCGGTGCCAAAGGCACTTAATACTTCAAAAGTTTATGCGTTGAAAATGGATAGAACGGGATTAACAGATATTGAACCGTATTTTTTTCAAGCAACTGGACTATATCGATTAGAAATTTCTAACAATCCGCTTTTTGATGTTCCTGATGACGCTTTTCAGGGCCTTGAACGAAGTCTGTGGGAATTGATTTTAAAATCTGACGAATTAATAGAGATTCCGAAAAAAGCTTTACGTTATTTGTTGAAACTTCGACATTTGGATTTGAGTGGGAATGAAATAACTTTAATTGAACGTGATTCATTTCGTGGACTACAAAATTCTTTAGAACATCTCATACTAGCTGACAATTCAATCCTTACATTTTCAATAGACGCATTTCATGGATTGCCAAACTTAAACACGCTTGATCTAAGTTCAAATAATTTGCATGCGATCATCCCTGACCTTTTCCGAGAACAAATGAACAGTTTAATGAAATTGAATTTGGCTGATAATCTTCTTCAAGAGATTCCTTACAATTCAATTTTAAATTTGAAATCATTGAGAGTTCTCGATTTGTCAAACAATAAAATCAAAGGTTTTACATCTGAAGGAGAACATCAGTTTATGAATACAAAACTAGCATTGGATGCTTTGCATTTGGAATATAATGAAATTAACGCCATTCAACCAGGATCATTCCAATTCTTTCTGTCAATTAATCAAACATTTTTGGATTTCAATCCAATTCATATTATTAGTGATAATGCATTCCAATCAGCAAAAATACGTGAACTTTACATTCGACATTGCTTTTTGGATTATATTGAGCCTTCAGCTTTCACAGGGCTTGAAAGTTCCTTAAAGGTATTGGACATTGCTGGAAACAACATAACAATCATTCCTGAGAAACTGTTTATGGCATTTGATCTTTTGGGAGTTGTCAATGTAAAAGATAACAAAATTTCAAAAATTTTCCCTCAAACTTCAACTTATGGCGGCTTTCAAAGTGATCTATACAAATTAGACATCAGTGGATATAGAAATGGACCAACAAACTTCCAGGATCTCAAAAGATTGGATAAACTTAGAACTTTGATTGTTGGAAGAATGAATACAAGACAATTAACAAGAGAAGACTTTCAAGGATTGTCAATGAACTTGGAGAATTTGAAGATTAATTTTGCAGGCCTTCAAAATGTCAAAGCTCATGCATTTATGCATTTACGTGGATTAAAAAAGTTGGATCTAAGTGAAAATGCCATAGAATCGATAGAACAAAGAGCTTTTCAAGAAATCGGCCATTCGCTAACATCGTTGAAAATATCTCATGGATTGTCATCACAAATGACTCAGTTGCCTGACCTTCGTGAATTAACTTCTTTAAGTGAACTCGATTTAAGTAATAATCGATTGAAATTTATCGGAGATACTTCGTTCCATTTCTTGAAGAATCTTCGTATCTTAGATTTGAATGACAATCAAATAGATTTGCTTCATAAGGGATTATTTCAAAGAGATATTCATCATAAGCTTGAAGAAATATCGATTGAGTTCAATAACTTGCGTCTTATTAGCACTCATAATTTTGTTGACTTAGAGGTAAGAAAATAAAAAGTTGCTTTTATTTATTGAATTCTAATTTTCTATTTCATTAGAAACTCCATTATATTAGTTTACGAGATAATAGAATTGAACGACTAGAACGACGTGCTTTTATGAATTTAGACAACTTGCGACATTTAAGCTTACGAGGAAATAAGTTATCGAGTATTTCAGACGAAGCATTTCAAGTGAGTGAGAAAAACCTTTTTTATTTTGTCAAAGTTTACATCATATAATTAAATTTGTTTTTTTATGATCGATTTTTTACACGTTGACTCTTTCCGGGTCGTTGATTGGCTTTGCTTTTCTTACCTTTATTTTTCAAAGCTTTTGAACCGACTCCAGCACGATTCCTTTTTGATGACCAATCACTTGTATCCATAGCTGATTCTTTTGTGTTCCTTTTCATTCCGCGCTTTTTGCCACCGAATCCAAATTTCTTGTCTCTTTCTTGTCGTTTCTTATTTAAATGCTTGCCTTTTGCCTTTGGCCTGCCTTGTGAAGGTCGCTTTTCTTCTTCGAGGAAATCAAGATTCTTTAATTTTCCTTTTCGGAATGATTTCAAATCATTAAGCATTTTTGTTTTCTGTTCTTGCTTTTTCTCAAGGTTTTCTCTTTGAATTATTTTTGACATTTTTCGTTGCTCACGAAGTTGCTTAACACGCTCGGAACGCTGCTGACCTTCTTGCTTTGCAATTAAATGTTTTCTTATTTTTTGCATGTGCTCATCTGTTTTAGCCATTTCAGCAAAATAATCATCTGGTCTCTTAGTTGATATTCCAAGCTCCTTTAACTTTGCAATACCATCAGTCACAGCAGCCTGAGCTTGACGATGAAACAATATTTCTCTCTTGAAGTCATTCAGCACTGGATCAATTTCAGGAGCTACATATGGAATCTTTTTGTTGCCTTTAAATAGATTCTCTCTTTTTTGTTCATGACGTTCCACTAAAATGTTTTTTAGAGTTATATTTTGTTAAATTAGATTTTTTTAATTAAAATCATACTTTGGATTGCAAGTTCAGGTGCAAGTGGTGCCAAATCATTTGTCATGTCAAGTCGTTCTATCCAAGGGAGCTCCAAAATCAAATCATCCAATTTCTCTTTCATTTTCGGCTACAACAAAAAATTTTCCTATTTTTATCCCTGAATACCAAACTCTAGAAAAATTACGAGATCGACTTACAATATTATTCGCAAAAATTTTCTCTTTAGCTGTCTGAATATTAAGGCCTGGCTTGATAATTCCTTTTTTAAAAGCTTCACGTAACTGAAATTATAATTCTTATTAGGAATCATAATTTATTAACATTGTTTTTTTTTATTTACCTCTTCATCTGAACTATTTTCTTCAGAAAAACTATCTTGATCAAGTGATTCCTCAACAAACTTCATCTTTGATAGCTTTGAGTTGTCTGAATACTTCGGAAAAATTTTAATTGGTTTAATATGTCTCTGCCTAATCAAATTAAGAACAATTTTTTGAACTGTTTTGTTTTCACATGTGCCAATGAAATAAGATGAAGCAAAGTTTTCGCTTCTTAGACTTTTCCTGCGCTTTGTGTTTAATTTTCTAATAACCGTTACAGAATCTTCCAGCACTTGGAATTCTAGATTTAGCATACAACAGCTTAAGAAGCTTTGATTTCGATTATTTCGACCAAGTCGGAACACTCAAACATCTTTTAGTTAATGTTAGTCATAATCATATTATGGAACTCACTGACAACACTTCCAGCTATTCAAATTTCAGAGAACAAGGTACTTTTGCACCAATTTCCATGCACTTCCATAAAGAATTTTAAAAAAATTTTAGATCCATGCAATGATTTCATTTCAGGAAGTTCTATTCATCATTCAAACATTAAAATCCTAGATTTATCGTTCAATAACATATCAAGGATAAGCCCGGGATATTTTAAGCCTACAGAACTTTCTCTTATAAGTCTTAACTTAGCATATAATGTTATAATGGTATTTATCCAAATTTAATTCATAACAAATTGTTATGTAAAGAGAAATAATCTTTATATTGCAGAACACAAGTCGAGACATATTTGGCAACTTCTTACGTCTTCAAATACTCGATTTATCAAATAATTTCATAGAATACATCGTACCAGACACGTTCAGAAATTCAAGGAAAATTCAAGTTCTTAATTTAGCTCACAATGAACTTACTGACATTGCACCAGACACATTTAGAACTCTTGGCGATTTAAGAATCGTTGATTTGTCATTTAATCTTCTTAGAAGTATCCCTGATTCACTTTTCATTGGGGATGACTTGGAAAGACTTGATTTGTCTCATAATCAATTAACAAAAATTCCTGTAACATCACTAACAAATGTAGCAGCTCTTACATTGTGTGAACTTGATTTGTCATTCAATCATATTGGAGCTATTCATAGTATGGATTTATCAAATAAATTCCGAGTAAGTTTATTTTTTCTCATTAAGCATGATCTTTAAACAGATGGAACAGATTCAATCACGTTATCTTCACAGCGATTAACAAAGCTTGATTTATCGAACAACCGTCTTGCAAGACTCGAAGATGCTGCTTTTGCTACCCTGCCAAATATTGCCATTCTTGATTTATCCAATAACAGTAAGTTTTGCAAGATTATCCTGAGATAAATATAAAAATTTTTTTTTTTCTAACAGACGAACTTGAAGTCTATGGACGTGTTTTCATTGGCCTGGAGAAAAACTTGATGGATCTGTCGCTTAATAACATTTCAATTATTCAAATGCCTGATATAGCTTTGCCTAATCTCAGAGTATTGTCCATCTCTCATAATGAATTACCTTCAATTTCACCAGAGATTGCAGCAAATTTAACATCACTCAGAGATTTGGATTTGTCTGAAAACGACCTTACAACTGTTCCTTTAATGACACATTATTTGCCGTTTTTACGCTCTCTTTCATTAGCTGGAAATCCTATAACATTATTATCTAATACAAGCCTTTTAGGACCTGCAAAAACACTTGAATATTTGGATATTTCACATTTGCAACTTGTGGTGATAGAAGTGTGTGAAAAACAGATAAGCAAAGATTTAGATATTTTAATTAATCCGATTTAACTTTTTTTAGAATGGAATTTTAAACAAACTTCGTAATTTGCGATCATTACGATTATCTACATATCCAGGGTTAACAGATTTCAATATTCCAACAATACTTGATGGTGTTGAAAATATTCGGGAATTGTGGATTGAATCGCCAGCATCGAAGTTAGTGAAAATTGTATCGAAAGAAGGAGTTGAAACTTATAAGAACGTACAGGAAACTGCTAGCGATCTTCGTTCTGAACTTTATGGAACACTTCCAAGGAAAATAAGAACGTTGACAATCGGTGGTGCTGGCTTCACTCGACTTGCTGATGGAATTTTTGATGTAAAATCTTTTAATTCAGTAATTTAGATTGAATAATGATGGTTTCATTTCATGTATATTTAAGGCTGTTCAAGCTTCATCTCTTCATTTGGTTCTTTTTAATACAACTTTAAGTGGATTACCACCAACAATGTTTCATAGAGTTGGAAGAGTTTACAATCTTTCTATCGAAATTGATTCAAACAATAAACTATTCAAGAAGATACCAAATCCAAACTCAGCAGAATATCCCAACATGCCCGACAGAATTCTCTTAACAGATTTGGCAATTCATTACACTTCATTATCATGCGATTGTGAACTTGGTTGGGTTGAATATTGGCAGAGAAAGAAGCGTCAATATTTCTGTTCTTATGATCAATGGGAAGATGAAGTCAATGTTAAAAGCGAATTTTACAAGCCAAATAATTGTGATACTTTTTATCACGACGATGATCTTCGTCTTGCGAGATGTTCTAATAAAAATGGAGAACGACTTTTGGAAATTTTGAAGACAGAATTAGAATGTGGATGGAGTGCCGGAACTAAGCAGGAAATTAATATTTTTGCATTCTCTGTTTTCGCTATCGTATTTATTTTAGCTCAATTATGACTTATGTATTACTTATTTATTGAATTTTCAAAGTTTTACGACTATTTGGAAAAATTGTACGGTGGAAAACTTTGAATTTGAAATTCTGATAAAAATAAAAGTTGAAAATAAAAAATCGATTAATTCTCAAGACAAATTGTTTGTGCAAAGTGAGTTTATTAAAAATATTTATTTATTTTTCAATATATTGCAAGTTATTTAGTTACAAAATGGTTAATCAGTACGAATTAGTTAAAGGCATATAGGTAATAAAAAAAAACAGATTTGAAATCATTCAGGGAGGCTTTCAGTGCATGAGCATGATTTCGAATAAATTCAGGAAGACAATGAATTAATTTAAGGCACAAAGATGGGAAGATGATAAATAAATAAATATTCAATCACTTGATGATTCCATTATATTATTTTCAAATGGTTCAGATAATATCATAAGATCTTCTGCAATATTCTTTCCGTCAACTGAAATATCTATTTCAACTGGATTTCCCGGTTCAACCATGGATACATTGACTATAGTTGCTCCATTGTCACAGATCTCAATAAATTTCTTTTCAGCAGCTTCACTGTAATCTTTTATCCCTTTTGGTTTAGATAAACAACAATGTTTAGACATTGCAGGAAGTTCTATTATTGTTTGTTCGGCTATTAAACCAATTTTCTCAACAAGACAAACATTTCCAAAGTCGATGAACTTTACCATGAATGATTTATCCTCAATTGATTCGATTTTCGAACGATACCAACAATTATCATCTGGAAAAAGCGCTGCAACGATGTCACCTTCTTTACCATCAATTTTTTCAAAGTTGCCCTTAGTTTCTTCAAAGTATTGTGAAATTAGATCCAATTTCAATTGATCAATCTCAAATTGAAGATAAAATGAAGACAATGAATTGATATGCGATGTATAACCACGTCCATCTTCAATCGTATCTAAACGATGTGCGAATCCGTTTTGAATTAACTTCTCAGTTAGACTTTCAGACTCAACGAACAAATCGATATAACATTTCTTTTCCATTCGTTGTTTGCATACAAATAAAGAATGAAGCACATTATCCATGAGTGTTATCATCATCGTTGTTGCATTGTCTTCATTCTTTCTCTCAAGTCGTACAGGCAATGAACATAAAATACCAAAGAATTTTCTCTCTTCTAGTGCATTTGGCATTACCTTTAAACATTTGTCGTCAACTGAAAATGTTTTTCCATCATCAACACTTCGAACAGTCACCATGATGTTTTGATCATTTTCATCATTGTCAATGATCTTTGCACGATACCAACAAGAATCAAATGGTTGCTTAGCTAAACATAGTGTGCCTTCTTCAAACACTTTCAAAGTAGAAGCATTTGATGCAATAATTTGAATGTCAGCATGGAATTGTTTGAACGCATTGAAATCATCAACTCGAGAAATATAGAAATCTGTTGGACTTGTAATTGCCGTAATTTTTACTGCAACTTTTTCTTCTTTGACATTTTCAGTTGTTTCCAAAGATATCTTTTCCTCTGGTTCTTGGTTTACCTCTAATGATTTTTCAATTGGTTTACTAGCAATTTTGTTATTTTTCTTTCTTTTTTCAGGCGATTTTCTTGCAGCTTTATCATTCACAGATTCATCTTTCTCAGCACCACAAGAATTCAAAATTTTTTCAAGTTCATCCAACGAAATTTTCTGAGCTTTTTTACGTTTAATTAACTCATCGATGACATTCTTATTCGTGATCTGGTCAATTGGTTCTATTATGAATCCACTTTTAAATGGTTGAACGACTTTAAATGTGAACTCTTTTGCACCATTTTCAAAAATCTTCAACATTTCATTGAACAAATATTTATCATTGGGATCATTCGGTTTTATTAAGAAGAAACATTCCACAACAAGATCGCCAATCTTCACAAACTTGTCGTCTAGTACTCGAACTTTGGATTTGTGAATAATCTCAGAATTTCCGTATTCACGATGGAAGACTTTTATTTTATCACCTGCTTGAAATGCTCCGATACGACTCCGATACCAGTTGCCATCATTACTGCGAGTTGCACAATCCATCCCAATTTGTGGATCCTTCAGAACTGGCCCTGTTAATAATTTAAAAATTAATTAATTAGTTAAATTGAGAAAAAAAAGAGTTCTTACGAGAGTTTTTATTCTCATAGAATGCAAACATTTCATCCAGAATCTTTTCCAATCCTTCAATGTGTTCATCATAGTGAACAAATGCTGTATTGATGGAAAGAAGAGTTGAAACCCAACCAGATTTTTGGTTGTCATTCTTTTGTTTTTGAACATTCGATCTATCAGGAGACTTCTGAGTATTCGATGCGCTGCCATCGTTTCTTATTACTTTTCCAAAATGAGTTCTTTGACTTTGTTGCATTTTGCTTGTATCAGATTGACTGTTGATGTTATTTCTCTGGGAACCTTTGCTAACAAAATTAATTCCTGGACCACCACGTGTGGAATTATTGCCTCGGTTTTGATCAAGATTGTCATTTGAAGTTGCTTTCGTTGTTCGTCCGTCTTTTTTCGATGAATCCTTTTGACGTTTCATTGCGTTTTCAAGTTGAATTGTTTCAATCAACGGACGACTATTTTTAAGCAATAATTTATTAACATTTACACTAGGCATTACTGATGTATCTTCTAATTCAGCTGAATAAGAGTTGTTGACGATTTCATGAGCTGTCATCTTGAATGTTTTTCTTTCACCTGTTCCATCACCGCAAAATATGTCAAATTGTGTGCTGATATTATCAGAAATCTCCATATTTTCGAATCCTTTTAAGAAAGCTTGATGAGCGAATGGGGGATCCTTGAAAAAGTATTCAGGCAGCAAACGAACTTGCTTCGGAGTTACTTCTTCGACAATTCCAAAATCAACGACTTTGACTTGTACAATGTTATTTTTAATGCCAACGATTTGAACTCTATACCATTCCTCACTGAGAAAAGCTGCACAGCAACTTCCTACTTTCGGATATCGATAAAGTGGAGCATGACACATAAATTTGAATAAATCATCACAAAGAGAATCATATGCATTCACAATGTCCGGTTGTTGTACGTGAACATAAAATTCTTTTGTCGAATCAACATAAGAAACTTTGACTTTTAAAGGAGTTTTCAAGTCAAGCTTTGGCTGAGGAAGAAATTTAAGTTCATTGCTGTATGGATTCCATCGTTTCAACTTCTCATAAATGCTTATCTTATTATCATCAAATAACTCACAGTATTGTGAGATTGGAGGTCCTATTTGAAGAATAATTAATTAATTCACCTACATTATTAAGTTAGATTATTTAAAATTCCTACCATCTGACGGAACGCATTTCAAAGTCATCATTTGATTCTCTGTCAATAACCGGAAATAAAACTGTAATTCTTCAGGCGATGCTTGCATATCTTTAGAGTCATATCGATTGAGACAAAAAGGAATTGCGAATGTTGTTTGATCAGCAAATTCTTCCGGAATGTGAAATAAATTTTCTTCTTTAATGAATGCATTGTAGCCAAAATCTACGAAATTTACGTAGAAATTACTTTGTGATGAATTCTGAGGTATTTTTGCAATAGCGGCGCGGTAAATTTGTTTCTCATGTTTAGCAAGACATGCTAATCCGATTGAGTTTGGACTGTCTTTAAAATGTCGAAGTTCTGCTTTCTGAAGTTTCTCAGAAAACTTTTTGAAATCATTATCAGATGACTCTAGTTGAACATAAAACATAAATGGGCCCTTCTCGTAATGTGTGATCTTAACTTTCTTCACTGACTGGAATGCCAAAACACTGGTTTTGAATGTTGTCTTGAGATTGCCTGCACTTTTATTAACTTCAGAAAATCGTGGTGGTGCTGGTCTCGACAAATTTCGAGTTATTGGACGGATTTGATTCTTCATATTTTTATCGCTCATCTTTGAATTTTATAGAATGCAATGCTATCTATGCTAAAATTTAATGTACAAACTTGAACAAACTTGTCAATAAGTAGCCAGTGGAAGAGTTGAAAACATGAATCACCTGAAAATGAAATAAAAGAAAGATATTTGGTATGTCATACGAATATCAATGAATATTATTATTACAAATAATTCAAAAAGAAAATAAACTTACGATTGCATTCTATTTGCTTTTGCTTTAAGTTTGTGTGAACACAATGTATGTGAAGAGGTCTGTAAAAAGAAGTTGAAAATTTTTAAATATGGTAAAAGTAAAATAATTTTAAATAGACAAAGAATAAATGTATATTAAATATACAATTAAAATCAATAAGCAAAACTTAAGAAACACAAGTGTTGCACTATTAATTTCTTTCTTTCGTTTTCCTTAAATCAGATTACAGATTTTTATTTCTTTTTTCCTTTGATAATATTTTTAAATGTCTCTATTATGAGTTACTGGATAAACTTTTAACCAATGTAATATCAAGGGAATATTGTACAGCTTTATTTAATATTTATTTAACAGCGATCTTAGAATCTATTAAAAAATGAAAAAGAAATTTTAAACCTACTTTCTTAGAAATTTATTGAAATTGAATTGAGGGGTTGGAAGTCTAAGGCAATTTTTTGATTTTTATTCAAACATATAAAATCAGTTAAATTTATTGCTGAATTGTTTTATTTTTTAAAATTGCATGTTAGACCGAACTAAATGATGACATTTAAAATAAGCTTATTATTTAAGTAAAAATATTAAATATATTTCAAAATACAACGTGATAAATGTTTAGTTTTCTGATAATCAGACATACAAGGCATCTTTATTTCAAAGGTTTAGATTCTTGACTGACAGACACGGAAAATTTTATGTAACATGTAAAAGAATGCTAATCTCTCAGAGATTTTGCAACTTGTAAAACATTATTTTAAAACTTAAGAGTACCTTCAAAAAACTGGAATTAATTAGGAAAACAAATGGACTATATTACACATTATAAGTTCAGGAAAACGTATGAAAGATCGGTAAGCGAGCCGAAGTTTGAAGATTATCGATCTCCAGAAGAATTTCCCAGAGGTCATAATTTGAGAAATTGTTATCAAGGTACGTACATATTTCGTGAGCTGATAATAGTCTTATCATTAATCTCACTGTTTCTTTCAAATGTTTCATTTTCCTCATTCATCATCAGATTCATCACGCTTCGAAATGAACTGTGATTTAGCAAAAGATTTAAGAGTAAACAAGGAGGTGAATGGAGCAGGAATAGTAAAGGAAGAAGTTCTACCACCAAGAAGGTATTTGTCAATTGTAACATCTTCAAAACACATGATTAAGCGAATGTAAATATTTTCACAGGTATTTTTGTATTTTCTGCAAAATGGATTTTCTAGTTGCAGACGATTTCCTTGATCATTTGGTAAGCGGCATTAAAATGGAAATATTATTTTATTATTATATTTATGTGTCAACGTTTTGTTTTAGGAGTTGCATCCAAATGGAAGTTTTGTTCTAGTCAAACGTGATTTACCACAACCTACACCTGTTTCTTCCGAACCTCTCGAGTCTGAGGAGCCATCAACAAACTCACCTATTTTACCTGAAATGCTACAAAACCAAATAAAAATTGAACCGATAAGTGAAGACGAAGACGATTATCAAGATTTTAAAATCAATGAACAACCTTCTATATCAGAAGCCAGTGAGGCTAATCTTAATAGTTCAATTGAACAAATTGAGTCAAATGATCCTAATCATCAACTAATGGTTTTATCAAACCCCCGCATTGGAGATGGACCTGGAGAATATCTCTGCAATGTTTGCAACGCCAAATTCGTGTACAAAAACAATCTTAAGAGTCATCTTAAGCGCCATTTGGGGATTTATCCATATATTTGCTTTTGTGGAAAGCGTTATCAATTCAAGTGTAAGCTTAACAAACACATCGAACAGGTAATTTAAAATATATTGAAGCCTAAAATTATAAATAAAATATTCTGTTTATTAATTTATTTAAGGCTCATGCAAAAATTAAAAATTTTAAATGTCCTGTTCCATCATGTCCAAAGAAATATTTCACCCGAAATGACCTCGCCTTTCACATCAGTGTTACTCATCAAGAGCGTCAGGAGATTCCCTGCCACATTTGCAATAAAGTTTTTAACTCCCAAAAATCCCTTCAGATTCACTGTAGGAAATATCACCGAAATCAAGAGTCCTGATTACAATTAAGCCCCGCCAATCATATGCCAACAATCATCCAAGTGA